ATATATATATATATACGCACATACATTGGGTTGTTCTATTATTCAACGTTAGATATTTGCGCGATTGCGATTCCGAAGGAGTAAGGTTTTGTTTGAATTCAGGACACGACGCTCTCGCGACCCACGCCCGCTATTATTTTGACTGTTTATTTTTTATCATTTTGCCCGCACGCGCGCAGATGTGAATGAGTGCGACACGGGCAATGCTGGATGCGAATACAAATGCGTGAACACACCCGGATCCTTCCGATGCGAGTGTCCGAGCGGCATGAAACAAGGAAGGGACAGATTCACGTGCACGGGTGGGTGACAGAGCTGGCTAAAATAAAACCGGTTTGATTTTTTACGACATTTCCACAATTTCACGTGCGAAGCCATTTCTTCATTTTTGGTGCGAAATAAACGGGATAATAAATTTCCATTACATGCGCATTGAAACGACAGTTACTGCCTTTTATTTAATTTTATTATTTAATTTCAATATTAGTTTTTTACATTATTTTACATTATTATTTAGAAATTATATTCATTTTAGTTGAATTGTGTCTTTTATATTTCTCTCTCTCTCTCTCTCTCTCTCTCTCTCTCTCTCTTTCCTTCGTTTTCTGTCTCTGTCTCTCTATTAATCCTTTCTGCTCACTTGTTCGCGTTAAATCGATCCCCCGCCCCGCAGTAATTACTTTATCCAAACATAGGGGCGCGCAGGGGGTTGATCGCCATTAGCAGTGGGAATAAACCGGCGCGTCGTTTGCTGTGTAGACATCAACGAGTGCTTATTGAACAACGGTCACGGTCCTTGCCAGGACACCTGTCGAAATCTCATCGGCGGATACGAGTGTTCCTGTGAGGGTCTGCAGGACACATCACTGGCCGCCGACAATCACACGTGCGAGCACACAGGCCCGTGCAGCGTCAATAACGCGGGATGCTCTCACACGTGTTTGTCCACGATGGGTCGAGTGTTTTGCCTGTGCCCGGACGGCTTCATGCTGGAGGACGACTGGAAGACTTGTCAAGGCGAGCAATTCCATCTCAGACCGAGATCGACCGGTCGGTCGAGATCGCGCGTTCTTTGAAAATTAGCTCTCCTTCCCTCTCCGTCTCTCAGGCGTCTTCCGGCGCGATCGCTCGGCTAACAATTCGACCAGTAATTACCTGCTCTTTCGGCACGCGGCGCACTCATTGCGTTCATCGCATTCACGCGACTCGCGTATCACGGCCGCGAATGTTCGCGACAGATTTTCGCAACGTAGCGTACGTGGCGCGGCTCTTCTCCTCTCACCTCGCTTTCGAGTTTCGGAGACGTCGCGATCTCGCTTCTCACGAGATTTCCGCATGCGGAGGTGGAGGAGACATCGGAGACATTTGACAAACGACAGTCATTTCCCGCAGATGTGGATGAATGCTCGGTGCCGGATCTTCAGACGGAGTTGTGTCGCTATGGGTGCATCAACACGCCGGGCTCCTACCGGTGCGCGCAACCTATGGAGCTGAAGGATCAACCGGTCCTGGACAGCCTGTCCATTACCTGCCTGCCGGGTTACGAACAGACCCCTCACGGGACGTGCATCGGTGAGTCGGTGCATGGGATAATGTATAAAGTGCGTCTCTCTTTGTCTTTTCCTCACTCTCTCTCTCTCTCTCTTTCCTGCCGCGAGACCTGGACGGTCTCTTTTCGCGGGACTTTTTCCAGAACTCGTTAGCTCGTGTATTAATTAGCAGCAGTTCCTAACGGAATATATCACGTTCGATGACCGGTAGCAGTTGAGAACTCATTTCTGGCTCTCTAACCGTCGGAAGTAGTCGGCCGGTGATTGCGACCAGTCACGTAGCGATCTCGCGAAGCCGTTTCGTTTCCTACGCTCGTTGAGGGGATGCTGAAATCGATGACGAATTCGAATAATGTCGATAATGTAAATTGTTTTGTCTTACCTAATGACGCAAGTGTAGAAATCTTTCTGTAAACTTTTCGACTCTTCTTAGGGTTCCGAATTCAGATGCAAAGGTACAGCAGTGTTCTTCAAAATTTTTCTGTCTGCATCACCCACACTATGTACAAACTGCGTAACTTTTGAATCAGACAAATATCACGCCAACTGACAGCTTTTACATTAAAAATTTTTTTTTCGTTTTCGTCACATACCGAGTGATGTTCCTATTTACTTTTGCATTGTGTAAAAGTTGCGTAATTTGTGATCTCGATACAACCGATACGACGTGAACTTTGCAGAAAAATGTTAGTGTTCTGTCGGTGAAGTTTTCAGTCTCGACATCCCCCTAACAAGTCTTATTAAAATTGCCGGTATTACATTACGATGAAATACCCGGCTGGTATCGCATTATATACTCCTGAAACTTGGATGATACCGATGTGTGCGCTCGAATTAGCATGCGGGTGAATACACTTCGCAAATTCGCGCGTGTTGGTATGGCTGCTTAAGGCAAGTTAAGCTAATAGGTTCTTGTTAATAAGCCCGGAACATCGTGTTACCGTTAAGAATGGAGGTGCAATCTTCCGCGATGCGGAAGAAAGTGAATGGAAGACAGAGACAGAGAGACAGAGAGACAGAGAGACAGAGAGAGAGAGAGAGAGAGAGAGAGAGAGAGAGAGAGAGAGAGAGAG